TCTCCTAACGTTTCTCTCTGTTATGAGCTGCTGTGTTTATGCATTGCAAGTGGAAGCACAGAGTGCCATCTACTGGAGCCCTGCTCACTTCTCAACTGTGGTGGAAGTGGGTATTAGCTTCAGTGCACGTAGCCCCGCCTACCGGGAGCCGGCTTGCCTCTCAAGGGTTGATGGAAGGGGCTCAAGTTTTCCTTATTCGGGACCTCTCCTTGTTCTATGGCTTGTGTGGTGAAGAAGACATTCTTCTGAAATGTTTGGACCTCGTTCTTGAGTGGCAGGTGTGATGAGATGGCCCCAGCCATCGATGGGCTTGTGCTCCGGAGGCTAAAGCTGCTGTCCCCCGCTTCTGTTAGAAAAGGTTAACAGACAAGATGGCTTCTCTTGGCCAGCTGCAGGTCCAGGTTGGGGGTGGGGGGAAGGGTGGAGGACGGAGATGGGCCAGGGAGTGCCTGACTGTTTGCTTTTCTTTTTTTTCCTGTGTGGATCTTCATAAGGAGTTCACCACGCTCCCCGTCCTGCTGCTACTCGCTGCTCCGTGGACTCACTGTTCCCTGGCTAACCTGGTCTGCTGGGGCTGGCGCCAGCCACTCTGATCTGCACCTCCGCCTCGCCTCCGCCACACCTCTGCTGCTTCCTTTCTTGTTTGCTCTTTCAGTGTGGACCTGCACAGTCTGTGTTGGCCTCCTGGGTTTCCAACATGAATTTCCCAAGGCTCTATCTCCTTATCCAATATAATACCTTTTAATTCATCCAAGAACATTTCAGCCACGACAGAAATATTTTTCCTAAAGCATTATAAATTTATCTTTTATATTTCAGTCAACAAGACATTTTGTCTTAATTTTTATAAAGTATCTAATTTAGGTTAATTTTTTGTGGTTTTTGTTTATGCCCATCCCTGCTGTTGTGGTTCTAATTTTAATTTGATTGCTCATTGCGGGTATATTAAAATATGACTGAATGGTTTCTATTCACAATATGCAGCATGCAGTATTTCCAAATTCATTTATTAGCTTTAGGAGATTTTTAATACCTTGGGATTATCTACACGGATGATCATGTTATTTGTAATGATGGTTGGTTTTGTTTCTACCATTTAATCCTTTTTTTTATCTCACCCTGTGTTATTGCATTGGTGACACTTTTCCATTACCATGATGAATAGAAGTGTTGAGAATGGAATTAAATCTTTAATTGTTATTCCAGTGATAACTCATGGATTGGGTATTTAGTTCATGCACCACCGGCGGTCAGCACTACATTGACTCTCTTGGTTTTCCTTCAGAACCTTTTTTAAAAGGAATGGATTAGCCAGTGCCGCGGCTCACTAGGATAATCCTCTGCCTTGCAGTGCCGACACCCCGGGTTCTAGTCCGGTCAGGGCGCCGGATTCTGTCCCAGTTGCACCTCTTCCAGTCTAGCTCTCTGCTGTGGCCCGGGAGGGCAGTGGAGGATGGCCCAAGTGGTTGGGGCCTGCACCATCATAGGAGACCAGGAGAAGCACATGGATCCTGGCTTCAGATCAGCGCTTGCGCCGGCCACAGCTCACTGGCCACAGCTTCCATTGGGAGGTGACCAACGGAAAAAGGAAGGCTTTTCTCTCTCTCTCTCTCTCTCTCTCACTGTCCACTCTGCCTGTCAAAAAAAAAAAACTCATTTACATGTAGTCAAACTAAGAAGTCCCAAATAATGTCTAAAATCACCTAAACCACATATAAATGAGACTCTAGGTGTGGTACAATTTTTTCATCTCTTCACCTGAGAAATCTGTAAAAACAAATTATCTGCTTTTAAAAAACAGTAGTGGGACAGGCATAGGATAAAAATTCTCATTCCAAAGTGCAAAAATTTGAAATAAAAAAGAGACACGTTAGCCTAAAACTAGTTTTAAAACTCAGCAGAAGACATTCCATTAGGTGACAAGGCCTGAAAACAATTTTCTGTAACATGATGTTTCTGTTCTCTAGGCCCTACCCTATCAACTTAGCCCTGGGCAATGACTCTGCCATCCTGTCCCGTGTGGGTTGATGTCTTAACTGCAAGGCCTAAAGGAAAGGAAGTTTCCTTGCCTCTTCTAGCTTCTGGTGTTTACTAGAAACCTTTGGTGCTACTTGGCTTTCAGATGAATCCTTTCAGTCTCTGTCTCTGTCAACATATGGCCATCCTTTCCTTGTCTCTTCCCTCTTATGAAGGATACTAGTTTTAATGAATTCAGTGCCTACCCTACTCCAGTGTGACTGTATGTAGAGCTAATTAAATCTAAACAATACTATTTGCAAGCATGAATTCTAATGTATTGATGTTGAAGACTTCAATAAATTTGGTGGGGGGGTGAGGCGGAGTTCAAGCCATAACAAGCACAGTAAATTCTTTTGTGCTCTCTACCTTGTAATCCTTCTAAGGATACCACAGTGTTCTATTTGTGTTTGTACTTCAGATATGTTCTGATTTTACCATAGGTTAACTCTCTTTGGAAGCCAAGTGACCTAACTTATACCATTAAGTTCCTTTCCCAAAAATCTCAACAGAGTTCAACACCACCTGGGCTCTGTTTATTGCTTAAGCAATTTGGGTGTAGCATATGCCTGCCATCATACTTGAGCAAAGCCACTCTCCAGAGATACGTGAGAGAAGGATATATTTAACAGGTTCTTGAATTGACTTAAGTCAGGCAGGTGAACCGTATTCTAGGTCCGTTTGTGTAAGTCCTTGTAAAACCTAGTTTTAGCAAAGAACTGACACATCAGTTTAGCAAGAACCTTCCACACTCAATATCTTATCACTTTTGATTATCTCCTTGGATTTCTCCTCTTTGATCATCTCCCAGGTGATGTTGATCACACTGATGAATTTTCAGCAAGAACTTTATTAAATCATTTTAGCAAGAATATCTCTTACCCTTGATATGTTCTTGGAAGTTTTCCATCCACTGACCCTTGAAACCTGGTTATAAATTCCCAGATATTCATGATATATTCTTGAGTTTAGCCCAATCTCTTTCTGCAATGAAAAGCCCCATTGCAGTGATTACTATACCTATTAATAGTATCCTAAATTGAGTCTTCTTTACCATGCTTTAACAAGTGTTCTGAAATAATAAATTCTAGAACAGTATTTTTCACATAAAGAACAAACGTGATACAACACAAGCCACAAAACATAAGAGAAGAAAGTTGAAAATGATATAAGTCTTTGGCAGCTTTATGTTTCTTGGTTAGATCTTCATGAGTCCAAGACAATTCCTTTTCTGCTATTACATGAATCTTTTAATTAACCCTACTTTTCACATAAACTGGTTAAAAATAGATTGCTTTGTTTGCAACCAAGGATTTGACTAAATATGCATAAAAAAATTGGAAAATTGAAAAAAGAGGTGCAATTCATATTCTCCACACATATTTAAGTGGATGTTCTAGATATGTAATAAAATAAGAAAGTTGCACGGACTTGGAAAAATATGATACAGGTGAAACGAGAAATGAATTGAAAGATTATCACCAAAAATTTAGGTAAGTAAATAGGCATCCTGAAGTTTCCTAGAAATGAAATTACAAATCATAGGACATGCTGGCATTTAAGATTATTGATTCTGTTCCAAAATTGCTGGATAGAAAATTTAAAATGATTTCTATTTCCAAGAAGATGGATGATAATATTTATTTCACTCTACTCTCTTTAACATTGGACATTCCTCAGTCAAAAGTGGGAATTCAAGTTTGTCCATTCAATAAGTCCAAAAGTTTTCATGTTTCTGGGCTTACAAATTGTCTTCATGTTTAGGAACTGTTTCATGTTTATGAATTGTAAAGAAGTACTATAAAAGCACAGAAAAATGCCAAAATCATATGTATGCAGTCAGATGACTATTCCTAAAATGACTGTCCCAGTGATCACTGCGATTATTATTAAACACACACACACACACACACACACACACAGAACAGAACATTACTAACACCCCAAGAACTGTCTCACTTAGCAGCCCAATTACTACATCATTCCCTCTAGGTAACCACTCTTCTAATTTCTCAACTCATACATTAGTCTCCCCTGTTTGTCAATCTTGTGTAACAAACCATGCAATAAGTGTCTGGCTTCCTTTCACCAAATGTTATGTTTCTGAGATTTATACATGTTTTCCATGCAGTTGTAATTCATGCATCCTTACTGCTATTTAGCACTTCATCATATAAAATCTCACAATTTACTTATTTACATTAATGTTTTTCCCATTGATGGAAATGGTGCTATCCTTCAGTGTTTATGATGCTTTTAGTAAAGTTTTCCTTTAATTTTCTTCCACTGCTATTATGCTTCAAAAGTGTTTGCGCATGTCGCAATAACAAATTCACCTATATTTTTCTAGCTATTTAAAATGATGCTATTTTATTTAGCTATTAAATTAAGATGAAATTAGTTTAAAGAGTGACATTAGCCATTTAGATGGCTAAATGATTAAGTAGATAATTAAGCCCTTTTTCGGTTCTTTGATTTTTGGTGCAAACTTTGTTTAAATTATTAAATTATTTTTAAGTTATTTAATTAATAAATATTAAAATAATGAAATATAAAATATTAAAGATGTATATGTACATGTGCTATTATTAATAAGAGGTATATATTTACATATTATATCTCTACTCCACTTACTATACTTTTCTACATCTACATTTATTTTGAAATCAGAGAATGAAAATTTAATTATAAGACTAAAAGGAATTCTAATGTTGTATGGATCCTAAATTTAAATGTAGAAAATGAAAAAATACAAAAACAATGCTCTGTGCAGATTTTTGGAATTCAGAATTTATGCTTTCTCTCCTTACCAATATCATGCAGAGTGATAATACTATTTAATTTAATTTTTGAAATTTGAAAGTATTCATCAGACATGACACTAAGCAGTTAATTATTTATTAATAATGTTGTTTAATTAACAATTGAATTATAGTCACAAGTTAATATATTAAAATGAAACCTTTGACTAAGATTTTATGTGACTATTTTGCACTGTGATTAGAATTCGCCTCATCATCATTTAGATCCCAGATGAACTTCAAGGGAAAATCTTTCATCTCCTCCTGGAATATCCTGTCAAATCTCTCACTCTGCTCCACAGTCATGTGGTGTTTCCAGTCTCCAACAGCACCTAGTATGAGCAACACATGAATAACACACAAGTGAGGAAGCAGTATTGACAGGGCAAAAGCTACCCAATCCCATTATAATCATTTCTCTGAGCCACACTAAATACTCTCTAGTGGTATGACATATCACTTCCCATTAGGCAAAAAAGAGTTATAAAAGGACCCTAGGAATACAGTACCTATAAATACGAGGGCTCTTCAAAATGTTTGTGAAAATACAAATTAAAAAACTATTCATGGAGCTAAAATTTTTTTCACAAAATGAACTTATTTTGCAATTCTGTTTCTCATTTTTGAAGTTTCTTCATAGGTTTATAGTTCATTACCCTATCAGTTAGAGTTTTACTAACTGCTGTCATAGAATCATAACTATTTGTTAGGGAAAAAACCTGGAAAATTGTGAATATTTGGGATTTTTAATTAGAGTTTTATTAATTTATTTTAGAAGCCAAAAGACAAAAAAACAGAGACAACAATACAGGGAAAGAGATAGCTCCTTCTCAATGGTAAATTCCTCCCATACTCACAATGGCTGGAACTGAGAATTCAAAAAAGTCACCCGCATGTGCAGCAAAAGCCCAATTACTTCAGCCATCACCAGGGCTTCCCAGCCCTTCCATTAACAGGAAGCTGGGATTGAGGGCCTGAACTATGAATTTACCCAAGGGTCTCTCATTTGGGACATGGGGGTCCTAACCACTAGGACAAAACCTTCTCCTAAAGTAAAAGAATAATATATTTTACCATATGGTAAGCATCGTACTACACATATCATTTTTATCACATCGTATAATTCTTAACAGCCCTACAAGGTAAGTATTTCTTCACTTGTTAATTAAAAAATGAGCTGCAAAGTTTTTCAGCTAGTGATGTTAAGGTCACATTGGGTGCCAGAGCTGCTATTGCTAAGTTTTATTGGACAGAAGTTTGAAATTATCCTTATGCTATTTTTTAAATTATAACTAATTGTTGGGGCCAGTGCATAGCACAGCAGACTAAAGCCATGATGCAGCATTGGCAACCCATATAGGCACCATTTTGAGTCCCAGAGGCTCCAATTCTTGCTTTTTTATAGCTTTTATTTAATGAATGCAAATTTCGTAATACAACTGTAGAAATATAGTGGTTCTTCCCCCTATACTCACCTCCCATCCCCACTCCTGTCCTACCTCCTACTCCTTTTCCTATCCCATTCTTTATTAGGATTCCTTTTTAATTAACTTCATATACAGAAGACCAACTCTATACTAAGTAAAGATTTCAACAGTTTGCACCCGCCCCACCACACACACACACACAACATATAAAGTACTGCTTGAGAACAAGTTTTGCAGTGAATTCTCATAGTACAACTCATTAGGGACAGAGGTTCTACTTGAGTAGTAAGTGCACAGTGACTCCTGTTGTTAATGTAACAATTAACACTCTTATTTATGATGTCAGTGATCACATGAGGCTCTTGCCAGGAGCTTCCAAGGCTATGGAAGTCTTTTGTGACCACAAACTCTGTCAGTATTTAGACAAGACTATAAGCAAAGTGGAAGTTCTCTCCTCCCTTCAGAGAAAAGTACATCCTTCTTTGATGGCCCCTTATTTCCACTGAGGTCTCACTCACAGAGATCCTTCATGTAGAATATTTTTTGCCATACTGTCTCGGCTTTCCATGCCTGCATTGCTCCCATAGGCTTTTCAGCCACATCTGAATGAGGCTCCACTCTGACCCAACTCCTTGCTAATGCACCTGGGAAAGCAATGGAGGATGGTCCAAGTGCTTGGGCCCTTGCACCCACATGGGAGACCCAGAAGAAGCTCCTGGCTCCTGGCTTTGGATCAGCTCAGCTCCAACAATTACAGACATTTGGGAAGTGAAACAGTGGATGGGAGACCTCTCTCTGTGTGTCTCTACCTCTCTCTGTAACTCTGTCTTTCAAATAAATAAAATAAATCATAAAAATACTAATTGTTCAGCACCTTCAGCAGTCAAATTTTCTGTAGAACATTATTGGAATTAGTATCAGATAGTACACTATTATGTATATGGGAATTTTATTCTATGTAATTTAACTGAAATACAAGGAAAAGAGATAATAAATGGCACAAGAATAATAATTTTAAAGCAACACTAGGTGAATTTCAGTAAGATATTTACATAAATATTTATAAATCAATATCTATTACCATAATGGTGTGTTATAAATAAAGTGCAATGTAAAATACAGAAGTCCAAATAAATATTTAGGATGATATACATTAAAACAATTGAATTTTAAAATGTGACCTTCCAAGGTATAATTGAGTAGAAAAATATATGCATTTTTAAAATATTTGGCACAATCAGAATACAATAAATTTTTACTGCATTTTTGAATACCTTAATTTATAGTAGAAGGGGCTAATAAGATATCACTGTGCTTTCTGTGAAGAAGAAATCTCATACAAGTAGAAATAATAACACAAGTTTTCTCCCCCGCAATAACAACAAAAAATATATACTAAGTAGATTTCCTAGGAAAAAAGAATTAAAGACATTGTTGTTCAAAAATATCTACAACTTTCAGACAGGATTTGTTAACAAATTTTAAAAAGAAAAAAAAAAAAACATGCTTTCCAGAAGGAAGGAATATGGCACTTGCTTCTTATATTTATTTTATTGCTTTTTTTTGAAAGCACATAGAAATATATATGTAGAGAGAGACACAGATATAAAGAGGTCTTCTATATGCTGATTCATTTCTCAAATTCCTGCAACACTGGCTGGGCCAGGATTAAGTCAGGAGACTGGAATTCTATCTGGTCTCCTGTGTGGGTGGTAGGGACACAAGTTCTGGAGCCATCACTTGCTACCTCCCAGAGTGTGTATTAACAGGGAGCTGGAACTGGAAGCACAGCCAGGACTCAAAGCCAGGCACTGCAGTATCAGATGCAAGTATCCCATGCAGTATCAGATGCAGGTATACCATGCAGCATCAAAACCTCTGTGCCAAGCACTTGCCCCAGAATGTAGTGTTTATTAAGAAAGTTCAGTGATGTTATTAGGTACAAAAACATTGTTAGAGTCCCTAGAAACTCTTCCCAGCAATTTTCAGCTGTAATATTTGATAAGTAGTAGGTCCCTAACCACAGTACAATATGAAAACATACGCTAGAAGCACTGATGATTCTTTCTTAGGTGCCAAGGACTCATGAGAACTAGATAATTTTGGTAGTATAAATCACTTAATGTCACCTTTGCGCAAGAAAGCTCCCTCATTATGTCGTGTGCCAATTTCATTGCTTAGAATACTATTATAATTTGCTTGTGGAATAAACTTCATGTTTTCAAATGTAGCCTGCCTCACAATGGCGTCCACCTCCTCTTCACTCAGTTCCTTCTCAAGAAAACTGCTGATTTTCAGTATTGAACTTCTGAGATCCTGAAAGAGTCATAAATGTGAGAAGTTACTAAGCTTATGAACAATGAAAGAGATACAGCCCAATATGCAGGATGGTCAAGTAAATGATAAATAAATTAAGTGAGAAATAGAAGGAAACTACTTCAACATCAAAAAAACTAATGTACAAAATGCCTATATCTTATGTCATATCCGATGGAGACAGACTGGAAGATTTTCACCTAAGATGTGGAAAACGTCCAATTTCTTCACTTCTATTTACAATAAAAGTTAGGAATACTAGCCAAAGCAATTAGGCAACAAAAAGAAACAAAGGCCTCCAAATGGAAAAGAAAAGAGTAAAAAATATCTCTGCTATCAGATGACATGATCTTCTATGTAGAAAATACGAATGATATCATATCACAAACACACACGCATACACACAACAAAACACGTGCTAGAATTAAAAAATAAATTTATCAAAGTTTCTGGATACAAAGCTCAAAAACTGGATGAATTGCTATCAACCATCAATGATCAAGTCTACGAAACAATTAAAAAAACAATTACATTGAAAATAACATCCAAAAGTTTAAAATTATATAGAATAAACTTCACCAGGCAGTTGAAAGACTTGTATATTCAAAACAAAAAAATGAAAAAAACAACCAAAAAAGCTGAAAGAAAGGAAAGTCTACACATATAAGTGGACAATATTCCATGTTCCTGAATCATAAGATAATAATTTTTTTCAGTCATATCAATTTTAACAAATTCCGCCATATAGTACTAAATCTTCACACACACACACACACACAGTCTTCAGAAATGTCTTAGATAATACATATTATGAACAAAACTATGCATGGGCCTCAAAATATTTACATCAAAATAAATTTTTCTTTTAATTTCATTTTCTTCTATGAACTTGTTGAATTTGCATGTAAACCTGTGACTGTGTTTGTGTGTGTGAATGTGTGTAGTAATAGCATAAAACATCAATGGAAGTTACAAGCATGAAAATTTTTAAATTATTTCTTTGAGGACATAACACAGAATAGGATTGGTAAAAATACCTATTGTTTTTTTTAAAACTTTTATTTAATGAATATAAATTTCCAAAGTACTGAATATGGATTACAATGGCTTCCCCCCCATAACGTCCCTCCCACCCGCAACCCTCCCCTTTCCTACTCCCTCTCCCCTTCCATTCACATCAAGATTCATTTTCGTTTCTCTTTATATACAGAAGATCAGTTTAGCATACATTAAGTAAAGATTTCAACAGTTTGCTCCCACACAGAAACATAAAGTGAAAAATAATAGATGATTTTTTTAAAATGATGATGAAATCAGATCAGACCTATTTTCATGTTTAATCCCAGTGAGAGTCAAGTTGGGAATTGATAATTTCTTTTTTTTTCAGAAGATCAGTTTAGTATACATTAAGTAAAGATTTCAACAGTTTGCACCCCCATAGAAACACAAAGTGAAATATACTGTTTGAGTACTCGTTATAGCATTAAGCCTTAATGTACAGCACATTAAGGACAGAGATCCTACATGAGGAGTAAGTGCACGGTGACTCCTATTGTTGACTTTACAAATTGACACTCCTGTTTATGGCATCAGTAATCTCCCTATGCACCAGTCATGAGTTTCCAAGGCTATGGAAGCCCCTTGAGTTCTCCGACTCTTATCTTGTTTAGACAAGGTCATAGTCAAAGTGGAGGTTCTCTCCTCCCTTCAGAGAAAGCTACCACCTTCTTTGAAGACCTGTTCTTTCCACTGGGATCTACACACAGAGATCTTTTTGCCAGAGTGTCTTGGCTTTCTATGCCTGAAATACTGTCATGGGCTTTTCAGCCAGATCCGAATGCCTTTAGGGCTGATTCTGAGGCCAGAGTGCTATTTAGTACATCCGCCATTCTATGAGTTTGCTGAGTATCTCACTTCCCATGTTGGATCACTCTCCCCTTTATTTATGCTATCGGTTAGTTTTAGCAGGTACTAGACTTGTTTATGTGCTCCCTTTGACTCTTAGTCCTTTCATTATGATCGATTGTGACCTGAAATTGATCACTTGGGATAGTGAGATGGCATTGGTACATGCCACCTTGATGGGATTGAATTGGAATCCCCTGGTATGTTTCTAACTCTACCATTTGGGGCAAGTCAGCTTGAGCATGTCCCAAATTATACATCTCTTCCCTCTCTTATTCCCACTCTTATGTTTAACAGGGATCACATTTCAGTTAATTTTCAACACTTAAGAATAACTGTGTGATAATTACAGAATTAAACCAGTCATATTAAGTAGAACAGACAAAAAAAACTACTAAGAGGGATAATGAATTAAGTTGTTCATTAACAGTCAGGGCTATGCTGATCAAGTCACCGTTTCTCATAGTGTCCATTTCACTTCAGGAGGTTTCCTTTTTGATGTTCAGTCAGTTGTCACCGATCAGGGAGAACATATGGTATTTGTCCCTTTGGGACTGGCTTACTTGATTGAGTACTAGTTATAGCATTAAATCTCAATGTACAGCACACTAAGGACAAAGATCCTACATGAGGAGTAAGTGCACAGTGACTCCTGTTGTTGACTTAACAAATTGACACTCTTGTTTATGGCATCAGTAATCACCCTAGGTTCTTATCATGAGCTGCCAAGGCTACGGAAGCCCCCTGAGTTCACTTACTCTGATAATTTTTAGACAAGGCCATGGTCAAAGTGGAAGTCTTTCCTCCCTTCAGAGAAAGGTACCTCCTTCTTTGATGACCCATTCTTTCCACTGGGATCTCACTCGTGGAGATCTTACATTTAGGTTTTTTTTTTTTCCCCCCGAGTGTCTTGGCTTTCCATGCCTGAAATACTCTCATGGGCTTTTCAGCTGGATCTGCATGCCTTAAGGGCTGATTCTGAGGCCAGAGTGCTGTTTAGGACATCTGCCATTCTATGAGACTGCTGTGTATCTCACTTCCCATGTTGGATCATTCTCTCCCTTTTTGATTCTATCAGCTAGTATTTGCAGACACTATTCTTGTTTATGTGATCCCTTTGGTTCTTAGTCCTATCATTATGATCAATTGTGAACAGAAATTGATCACTGGGACTAGTGAGATGGCATTGGTACATGCCACCTTGATGGGATTGAATTGGAATCCCCTGGTATGTTTCTAACTCTACCAATTGGGGCAAGTCAGCTTGAGCATGTCCCGAATTGCACATCAGAAGATAATAATTCTAATACTACCTAAAGTTATCCATAGAATCAATGCAATCTCAATCAAAATACCAATGACTATTTTTGTAGAAACAAAAATTCATCTTAAAATTTATATGGAGGTGCTGGCACAGTGACATAGAAGGCTAAGCCTCCACCTGCATTGCCAGTGTCCCATATGGGTGTCAGTTCGAGTCCTGGATGCTCCACTATGGTTCCAGCTCCCTGATGATGCACCTGGAAAAGCAGCAGAGATGGACCAGGCCCTTGGGATCCTCCACCCACACGGGAGACCCACAGGAGGCTCCTGGCTCCTGGCTCCTGGCTCCTGGTTCCTGGCTTCAGCTTGGCAGAGCCCAAGCATTGGGAGTGAATCAGTGGATGGAGGTGTGCTCTCTCTCTCTCTCTCTCTCTCTCTCTCTCTCTTTCTCTCTCCTTCTAACTCACTCTGTATCTCTGCCTTCCAAATATAAATAAATAAATCTTTAAAGAAATTCATATGGGGCAGGCACTGTGGTATAGTGACATAAGCCTCCACCTGCAGAGCCAGCATCCCATGTGGGCACCGGTTCTAGTCCCAGCTGCTCCTCCTCTGATACAGCTCTCTATGGCCTAGGAAAGCAGTAGAAAATGGCCCAAGTACTGAGGCCCCTGGACCCCAATGGGAGACCCAGAGAAATTTCCTGGCTCCTGGCTTCAGATCAGCATAACTCTGGCCATTCCAACCAATTGGGGAGTGAACAATCGGATGGAGGACCTTTCTTTCTTTCTCTCCCTCTCTCTCTCCCTCTCTGCCCCTTCTCTCCATGTATCTCTTTCAAATAAATAAATAAATCTTTAAAAAATTCTTATGAACTCTCAAGGTAATAAACCTCCTAGTCTTGACAAAGAATAAATTTGGAGGTTTCACAATTCTTGATTTCAAAACTTAATGCAGGTCACACTAATTAAAACACAGTGATAGTGACATAAGTGAATCAATTCTCATCTATGTGGTCAAATGATTTTTTCATACAAGTTTCAATAATATTCAGTAGGGAAGTGGCAGTCTTTTCAACGAAGATTCTACTGTAAAATTGGAAGTCCATAGGAAAAATAATAAACAGAAACACAATATGCAATAGTACTTCACAAGGAAGAGAGATTAAATTTAATTCTGGAGGTTAGAACATTTTCAAGAGGAAGAAATATTTCTTTCAATTTTAGAAAAAAGAAACAGCTCTGAAAAATATGGAATTCCTTTCTGAGCATAAAAGTAGCCTCAAATTGGCCAGCGCCGTGGCTCACTAGGCTAATCCTCCACCTGCAGTGCCAGCACCTCAGGTTCTAGTCCTGGTTGAGGCGCCGTATACTAGTCCCTGTTGCTGCTCTTCTAGTCCAGCTCTTTGCTTTGGCCCAGGAGGGCAGTGGAAGATGGCCCAAGTGCTTCCATCCCTGCACCTGCATGGGAGACCAGGGGGGAAGCACCCAGCTCCTGGCTTCGGATCAGCACAGCGCCACTTGCGGAGTGAACCAACAGAAGGAAGACCTTTCTCTCTGTCTCTCTCTCTGTCTATAACTCTCTCTCTGTCTCTCTCTCTCACACTGTCTAACTCTGCCTGGCAAAAAAAATTTCAAAAAAAAACACAAAAATTTTAAATCCCTTTCATATGTAGTGGAATGTTAACTTCCGTGTTCTTGGTACTTGATGGATTTGCGAGAAATGGAACTGGCTGGCAGATGGGGGTAGAGAATTAAGGGCCATGCCAACTTTGCTGAGTGTTTTATTTTTTTTTTAAGATTTATTTATTTATTTGAAAGTCAGAACTACAGAGAGAGGAAGAAACAGAAACAGAGAGATCTTCTATCTGTCTGTTCACTCCCCAAATGACTGCAATGGCCAGGGCTGGCCCGGGCTGAAGCCAGGAGCCAGGAGTTCAACTGGGTCTCTCACATGGGAGCAAGGGCCCATGCACTTAGGCCATTCTTGGCCTCTTTTTCAAGAACATTAGCAGAAAGCTGAATTGGAAGTGGAGCAGCCAGGACTCAAACCGGCACCCTTATGGCATCCCAGTACTGCAGAAGGTGGCTTAATCCACTGTGCCACAGGGCCAGCCACCTTGCTGAGTTCCCCCCAAAAAATAAATAAATATAAATATAGATTAATGAATGTTACTACAAATTGAACATTTATGAAGTCATTCACATCAAGCAACTGAACAACACAAGTATTCTAGAATCCTACAAGACACCTCTTTCCTAATTTCAAACTTTATTCTTTCCCCAAAAGACAACCACTTTTCATCTTATAGTAATAACATCTCAGCTTACTTACAATTTAATCATCTAATAGAAATATATGAACATTATAATTGACCTCGTTCCTATTACATACATAGACACCTGAGACAGAGTAGTAGAAAACAACTCTGCATAGTCAATATGGTCCTCAGTATATCACCTCCAAATCTGCGGGACTGCTCAAAATACTCTGAGATAAACTGCTATGCCTTTGGGCATCCTGATGGTATTATAATTGGGATAGGAAATAGACAATTTTGAGTAAAATCATCAAGAAATTTCCAAGAGAAAATTAAGAATATTTTTAGAAAGAAACTCTTAGAGCTAAAACACTTGAGCTAACCAATATCCGTCTTCCCCAGAGAGTTGAAAGAGATCCTGATCTTATTATATGGTTAAAAAGTCTTTTTTTTTTTTGCTAAGCTGGAAAACATTTATATCAAATATACATAAACAATTGGCTACGTTGTAGAAGGTCAGACAAAATTCAGGTGTGGTGACAGATTGAAGATAGAACAGAGAAATATTACAGGGGTTTTGCATAGTCTACTCTGGTCTCCATTCAAATGTTTGTTAAAAATCTACTGACCTACTATGTTTCAACACTTTTTGTGAGCACATTCTCATTAATTCACGTATAAAAATAGGGAAGGAATCAGATTTTGTTATGAGACAATAACTGTGGTTGAACAATAAATAATAAAGAGAAACAAGGAAAGATTGAAGGCAGGTAGACCAAAATGAGGAAAGTTGATCTAGAAACTAACCACAAGTTGTTAATGACCTGGACTGCAGCAAATGCCACATGGACTGAGACAAGGTTCTGTCTTCCACAAGGGATACAGAGCCAGAATTCACATGACCCATTGATTAATTGAGTAAGTGAAGGTTTAAGAGCAAAAGAATAAATTAAGTATGTCATCTCATTTCTGATTAATGCCACGTGAATTCTTGAGCAATTATTAGGAAGACAAGCATCTAGTGCTAAATTACACTTTGATCAGGATTTTTAGAAGTTTAACTATTAGATATAGAAGCTTTAGGAAGTGCCTTCTTAGCGCAGTAGGCAGCGCGTCAGTCTCATAATCTGAAGGTCCTGAATAGATATAGAAGCTAAGCATGAAGGATACAATTATAATATAGGTGTTCCTCGGTTGGTGTTATATACTCAAAATTCACCAATTTATGCCCCCAATATGTTGCAATCTGCTGTAACCTACTTTGCACACATGTTACAACACAAAATTCAGTGGATTTTTTTTTCTTTTTTTCTTTTTGACAGGCAGAGTGGACAGTGAGAGAGAAATACAGAGAGAAAGGTCTTCCTTTACCGTTGGGTCACCCTCCAATGGCTGCTGCGGCCGGCGCACCGCGCTGATCCGATGGCAGGAGCCAGGTGCTTCTCCTCATCTCCCATAGGGTGTGCAGGGCCCAAGCACTTGGACCATCCTCCACGGCACTCCCGGGCCACAGCAGACAGCTGGCCTGGAAGAGGGGCAACTGGGACAGAATCCGGCACCCTGACTGGGACTCATTTTTAGTTGATTTCTTTGATATCGTAAAGATTTTTAATGTATCTTAAAGAACTTTGTTGACATATCTTCTTGGCCACTGTCATCACACACTTTATTTTCTTTCTCTCTGACTGCTCATTTTCTGTTTCTTTTTAGTGCTCATCCCTCTCTAACCAAACTTCCCTGTTAGTCTTATTTCCTTTTTGCTCATTCCTTCCTCTCTCTCTCCCACTTCCCCTCCTTTCATGCTTTCTTCTTGGCTTTTATTCCCTTGGTTTTAATCCCCAGACCATTTTTCAGAGATTTTTTATTTGCATTTTTCATTTATTTCTCAGTATATCCATTTCAGCACATGTAAGACACCTTAAACTTCATATGTCAAAACCAGTATCATAAACAATCTTCTTCCTTTAACCTGATTCTGCTTCAGTGATCCCTAAACACCTCAATGACTAATATCACTAACTACATGAATATGTAAACTAGAGATATAGGAAGCATCCTAGACAGCTGTCACTATTTCATTTCATAGTTCCTGTCCTGTTTATATCCCAAATATGTATTTAAATTCTACATTCTCTCCATTCCCAGATATCACTATAGTTCAAAGTAACATGGGCATTCAACAGATTAATACACTCATCTCTAATTGCTCTTCTCTACTTTTATTCACTATTTTCACTTTCAACCCACCAAGGGAAATGATATTCCAGAAACACTGATTCTATCTCATTATTATCTTCTTAGAACTCATAAAGTCTCATTGCTACTTTTAAGATTAAAGAAATCACCATCGTTAACATAGTCTACAGACCTTGCCCAGTCTAGCTGTTACAACTCATCTATCTGGGCTGGCACCATGGCTCAATAGGCTAATCCTCCACTTGCGGTGCTGGCACACTGGGTTCTAGTCCCAGTCAGGGCGCCGGATTCTGTCCCGGTTGCCCCTCTTTCAGGCCAGCTCTCTGCTGTGGCCCGGGAGTGCAGTGGAGGACGGCCCAAGTGCTTGGGCCCTGCACCCCATGGGAGACGAGGAGAAGCACCTGGCTCCTGCCTTCGGATCAGCACGGTGCGCCGGCCGTAGTGGCCAATTGGGGGGTGAACCAACGGTAAAGGAAGACCTTTCTCTCTGTCTCTGTTTCTCACTGTCCACTCTGCCTGTCAAATAAATAAATAAATAAATAAAATAAAAATAAATAAAAATTAAAAAACCTCATCTATCTGAGTCTTTCATCTCTTGCTCCTTAATCTTTTAAGTCCTTCCTTCTTTAAGTCCTTCCTTCAATTATTAAAGGTGCTGTATACTTCACCACTTAAAGAATTGTCACTTTCTTCTTCATTAATTTATAGCTCTTTTTCATGTGTTTTTTTATTAGTTTTATTCACTATCTGTCTGCTCCCATGTTACTTAATGATAACTATCACCTTTATATAGATAGATATCTTTAGTAAAAACACATGTTGAGACTGTCTGGACTTTTCCTTAATAGCCATACTTATCACGTTTTCAATTATATGTAATGGCTCACTGAGTATCTATGTTCCTCCTTATTGGATTATGGCCTTTTCTCATCATAATATTGCATATTACACAGTTATCACTCATTAGTTTCTGAATTAATGAATAAATAGATTGTGAATTTCTGAATCATCATACCAATTAGAGATCCATAAGATCCCAAACTGTTCTGTTCGTTTGCACATCGTCTTCAGACAATATTGTTGGTTGCCTCCATGTAACCATTCTGTGATTTCACATAAAAACTACATTTCAAAATTATCTTTGGGGGCCGGCACTGTGGCGCAGCAGGTTAAAGCCCTGGCCTGAAGTGCCAGCATCCTATATGGTCACTTGTTCTAGTCCCAGCTGCTTCTCTTCCAATCCAGCTCTCTGCTATGCCCGGGAAAGCAGTGGAGGACGTCCTGAGTCCTTGAGCCCCTGCTCCCACGTGGGAGACCCAGAGGAAATTCCTGGCTCCTGGCTTCAGATTGGCGCAGCTCCGGCCACTGGCGTCATCTGGGGAGTGAACCAGCAGATGGAAGACCTCTCTCTGTATCTCTACCTCTCTCTGTAACTCTTTCAAAAAAATAAAATAAATCTTTAAAAAAATTATCTTTAAAAATACAAAGAACTTGCATCACAGGGCACAGACTCACCTTTGGAAATATTAATCATATGTTAATAGTAACTTCTTGTTTCCGTGTTCCATGTTGCCCCTTTTTTAAGAATAGTTGTCCTGAATTTAGCATTTATTGCTAAAGGCAACTACATGAGAAGGAACCACAAAAGATGGCTGTGTAGTGACAAATGTGACCTTGAGAAGACTGGTAACACAAGCACAGATGGAATTAGAAACATAACATGAAGCCTGAGAAAGTGTGGTTAGATATCAAGAGATGTGGGAGAATATGATTTGCTGAAACCAACAGAGGAAAGTGCTTTGGTAAATATTTTTCTTCGCTCTGTCATCTTACCTTCTTCATATCTTCATACATCATGAACAGAATATTGAAGTCATTTTTGTGTTCATACCAGCCTCTGATGTGATCAAACCATAGGATTCCCATCACTATGAGGAAAATTAAATAAAGTCACATTGTTGTCTTCATTTTCAGGAAACTATTCTTTTGCTTCTATTTTGGAATGTTCAGAAACACATATAAATCTCCCATCACTGAACATCTAGATCACAGTTTTTAAATACTTACTACTCTCAGGAACATTAAATTATTTCCATAAAAACCTGTCTCAGAAAAACTACTCTGTGTGTAGAAAGTGTCACTGCAAAAATACATCATCATCTGAGCCTGAAGATTTCTTTATGGTAAGTCACTTCATTTTCCTACCTACACCACCTGAAAATTCTATTTCTGTATTACTTAACATCTTGCATAGAGATATCTAAGATCTCTATTCTTCTATTCTCTAAGATCTTGCAGACAACATTCACTCCCTCTCATGGTCCAGAACCTAATTTAATCAACTAAATGACTGACAGCCATATCCCACAATTCACAAAACTTTTGCATCAATCCTCCTAAGTAGTGAAATGAAGAAGCCCACAGTGGTCATGTAAGACCTACCACAGGCTCACAATAGCTCATAAAGTCTCTCATCAGCTAGTCTGGAATATGTAACTCTGGGTATGGATTTAGCTAGTTTGAACTGTTAGAACATTTGGGGATCTCTCATATGTGGTCAAAATACCTCCTAAAATATGCCTTTGCAATCTTGACAATCCCCACAGGGTCCTGGCCAGGACAAAGAGCAACAAAGTGGCAGACTAAATTGCTGTACAATTGTAACCACTTCCCTGAACTCCATTGTCTATCATTGCCCTTCTCCTTTTCTCTGTAGTATGTTCCCTAAGGCCAAGAACTTGGCTAAATGGCAGCATTTTCTCATCAGTATATGGCTTAATAAATAAATTCATAGTTACCTTTTCCATCTAGAAACTTTTCCATGAAATTTTCTAAGGTATTTGAAGCTTCAAATCTAACCACCATATTTGAAAAATGGAAAAATGAAATTAAAACATCCTTAGGATTTCTGTAGACATAAATAATCTGCAGAGAAAATTATGAAATAATTTTAACAGTTTTTGCATCTCTTTACAGAGTTTATAACAGCTGTGCAATCATTCATTACATGAATTCTTTAATTCTTCTCATTCTTTCTTTCCATCATAGAACTTTAGGTTGTATCCAATTTTTTGTTATAATAAACAGTATTACAGGCTGGCGCCATGGCTCAATAGGCTAATCCTCCACCTAGCGGCGCCGGCACACTGGGTTCTAGTCCCGTTCAGGGCGCCGGATTCTGTCCCGGTTGCCCCTCTTTCAGGCCAGCTCTCTGCTGTGGCCCGGGAGTGCAGTGGAGGACGGCCCAAGTGCTTGGGCCCTGCACCCCACGGGAGACCAGGAGAAGCACCTGGCTCCTGCCTTCGGATCAGCGCGGTGTGCTGGCCACAGAAGCGCCAGCCTTGGAAGCCATTGCAGGGTGAACCAACAGTAAAGGAAGACCTTTCTCTCTGTCTGTCTCTCTCACTATCCACTCTGCCTGTCAAAAAAAAAAAAAGAGTATTACAAAAAAATTTTTATTCATGTATGCAAACATAGGATACATTTCTAAAAGTGACATTGATTATTGGTAGAGTTTATAAATATAGAATCTGTATTAATTAACTTCTATAAACATTATATTTGCCGTACAGCCAAGCTAGAACTGGAGATAAGAAAGAAAAAGAACTACTTATGAGGTTGGAGCAAATAGCTATTTACAAAGAATAACAATGAATTTTTTTATTTCACATCATATACAAAAAATAGTTCCAAATGGACCTATTTAAATATGGAATAAAATTTTGACATCTAAGTCAAGAATGGGTTTCTGTGTTTGGAATAAGGAAGGATTTATTTAAAACAATACTTTTTAAAATAAAAACTGATCAGTTTTGCTCCATTAAAGTTAAGAGTGTTAGTAATTACAATACAATATAAAGGGATGAAAAATCACAAAATATGAAAGAAGCAACACTTGCAAATTGCTGCTTAATATCAAGGGTATGTATAAAGCAAAGGAATAAGAAAAAAATCATGATTAATACAACATAGGCAAAAGATATATTCACTTCACAGAATAAAAACTAGGTATGGCCATAAAAACATCAAGAAGTACTTCATATCATTACTGATTATTAATATGCAAATTAATATCAGTTTAGGGACATTTTTATAAGTACTAGAATTAAAAATTAAAAGTCTGGTGTGAAAAGTTGCTGGAGAAATTATTAGGAGAAAAATAAGAACTCATCCATTAACAGGGTACACCTGCTTGCTTAGGAAAATATAACACTACCTTATCAAGTTTATTATTATTGTATTTCCATCATGAAGAATCATGTGACAATATAAATATAAATTTAAGTAAAATTTAAAGCCAAGGGATTTAACAAAACAACATATAATTTGCTCAACAAAAAAGTAATCTCCAAATATTGAAAAAGTTAAACAGCAAAAATTCTATCAAGTGCACTACATTTTGACTTAGCAACAATCATGGTGGCAGACTTATATATATTTATTTTTTGACATAAATATAAAAAAACACAAATTAATTTAATTTTTAAACTTTGCTTGATGCGTGTTTGTATTAATACCTCAAACAGAAAAAAGTACATTATTTTCTTATGTTGTTGTGGGACATACTGAAACAATAATCATGCAATTCTTGGTAAAACTCCCTAAAAAATTCCAAAAATTCAATTTTTACCCAATACCACCATTACCCAATGATAGCTCAGTAAGACTAATAATCATAACTTTAAAATATCTTTGAACATTATATAAATACTCAGAAGTAAAAAATTCTAAAAATAACTGACACCTATTAAGAGAGTAAAACTGAAATAAATTACTCAGCTACTCAAAATTCTTTTCCATATCTATATTAAAATAGCATCCATTATTTGAAAATATCAACATTTTAGAAACAAATATTAGAAATAGACTATTTGGGCCAGTGCCATGGCTCACTTGGTTAATCCTCCACCTGTGGCACTGGCATCCCATATGGGCGCTGGTTCTAGTCCTGGTTGCTCCTCTTCCAGTCCGGCTCTCTGCTGTGGCTCAGGAAGGCAGTGGAGGATGGCCCAAGTGCTTGGATCCCTGCACCTGCATAGGAGACCAGGAGGAAGCTCCTGGCTCCTGGCTTTGGATGGGCGTAGCTCTAGCCATAGTGGCCATTTGGGGAGAGAACCAATGGAAGGAAGACCTTGCTCTGTGTCTCTCTTTCTCTCTCACTGTCTAACTCTGTCAATAATATTAAAATAAAAAAAGAAATAGACTATTTAGTTAAAGAAGACAGAAACATATGTGTAAACAAAATAGAAAATAATTAATAAAAATTTTTAAAGTAGAAAATATTAAGTGATGTTTCCTAAAACAAATCTATTTCCTTGGTGAAAGAAAACTGGGTTGTTATGTGATTTTCTTTTAAAGTTTTATTTATTTATTTGAAAGGCAGAGTTACAGAGAGGCAGAAGCAGAGAGAGAAAAAGAGAAACAGAGAGAGAGAGAGAGGGAGGTCTTCCATCTGCTAATTTCTCCCCAGTAGCTGCTAGTGCTGGAGCTGCGCCAATCCAAAGCCAGGAGCCAAGAGCTTCTTCTGAATCTCCCTTGTAGATGCAGGCTGGGGCCATCTTGTATTGCTTTCACAGGCCACACAGCAGAGAGCTGGATCGGAAGTAGAGCAGCCAGGACTTGAACCAGCGCCAATACGGGAAGCCAGCACCACAGAAAGGGCTTCAACCTGCTGCACCACACGCCAGCCCCACAGTTATGTGATTTTTAAAAATCCACCCCACTTTCAAAAAACAGCATTGTGTGTGTGCATATGTATACACATTATGCCTATACATGAAGTGAATATGGCAAAATGGTAAAAGTTATTAAATCTATGTGTATTCATTGAACTCTAGTTTATACTTTTTTGTGTTATTTGAAATAGTTTAAAATAAAACACAGAAAAAGAAACCACTGGATATAGTAATATGACATAACAACCCCTATACAAAATTCCTCATATTCTAAAACATTTAAAAAGAATTAAATTACAAATGAATGAAAAATATAACCACATATTTAGAATAAATGAATAAGATCCTGAAAAAAAAAAGATTTCTTTAGTGTATTGAGACCAAAATAAAATAGGTAAGAAGGATGCTAGGAAAAATGTAAAATACACAAAGAGCCAAAGTAGGATATGGGAGGAGCATTGGAATATTGCAGCTAGGTTAGCAATTCTTGGCAATGAAACATTAAGTCTTTGACAATAATGCAAATTGAAAATATACTATGAAAGTCAACATATAGTGAGAGTATAATTATTGTGTGGTGTCATATCATTTGGTATTTAACTGTAAACATTGCTTCACTGACCTACCATGTAAATGACAATGTAGCCTTTCTTCCCCGAATTATCTCGAAATTATTATTTTGCTACCTAGACATCAGCAAAAATTAATGATTCTCTTCATTGGTGAGCACATGAGGAAAGAGGCATTCTTACACACTATTTGATGGAAAAACAATATATTATAGAAAGCAAAAAGTAATATTTGCCAACACTTAAAATGTTTGGGCAATTCAACCTTAAGTTCATTTTTATTTCTTTATATTTGAAAGGGAAACAGATAGAGATAGAAACACAGATAGAGAACTTCCAACTGCCAGTTCACTCACCAAATTCCCAAAATAGCCAGGAGTGGGTTAGGCAAAAGCCAGGAAACGGAAAATCTGCCTATGCCTCTTACAGAAGTGGCAGGGACCCAAGTACTTGAGCCATCAACTTCTTCCTCCCAACGTGAGCGTTAACAGGAAGCTGAACCAAAAGTGCAGTTGGGATGCAAACCCAGGAATTTTGTGTGCTGATGCACAAGAACTTCTGCCATATGCTACATGGTAACATCACAAAGTGTGTTGTGGCTCAGAAAATGTACATATTTTCAATTATCACACATATGTTAAATTTGCAAAATATTGTCATAATTATTTAATAATCACAACATTTGAAAGTATATGGGTGAGTGGGGCTGGAGAACAATTCTTAGGGAAGGTGTGCCGCCAGTGCAAAAAGTGTGTAAGATATTTCTGTGACTTACTTTAGCTTTGTTGTTCTTGAGACTTTTGGGTGCTAAATAATATGGAAGGTGGGAAGAAAAGAGGCGAGGGGATGGTCTGTTCTCAATGTCCACTTTGCGAATATTGTATTCCAAGAAGGGCACTCTATCAAGCGTGTCCCACTTTTCAGTTCTGTTTCGGTGGCCCTCAAAATAAATCAAGCTTAGTATCTGCTGAGTCCAGATAGTACCTATAAACACAGATAATCTTGTTTTCATACATAATATAGCTTTGAATAATAACTGTGAATAGTAATGGTCAAACCACGTATAACAAACTTGTTTGAGGTGTTCTGACATTGCTACACCATAAATATGAAAACAAATACTATAGAAAATCTTAACTCCAACTTTACCTTTTAGTCTGTATCAACCACAAATAAATTCAAAGCAGTTTCTCCAGGTTCCACCCTCCATTCACTGCTAAAGTAAGGATCATGTTGACAAAGAAAAAAAAAAAAGCATCCTTTCAAGGATGGACATATAGACTAGTGGTTTAGGTTCATCCCACAATGGGATTTCTAGGTTTGATCCCAGGCTCTAGTTCATGACTTTAGCTTCCTGCTAGTGTATACACTGAGAAGAAGCAGTGGCTCAAGTAATCGGACTCCTACCACCCATATGGAAGACCTGGATTGGGTCTTTAGTATGTGGCTCTGGTTCTGACACAGTCCTGGCTGCTAAGGTTATTTGAAGAGTGAATCAGTGGATGGGAACTCTCATTCTCAGTCTCTCTTTGTCATTCTAAAATAAGTAAAAATATGAGGTTTTGTAAAATGTTTCTGTGGCCAGCGCCATGGCTCACTAGGCTAATCCTCCACCTAGCGGCGCCAGTACACCGGGTTCTAGTCCTGGTCGGGGCGCCGGATTCTGTCCCGATTGCGCCTCTTCCAGGCCAGCTCTCTGCTGTGGCCAGGGAGTGCAGTGGAGGATGGCCCAAGAACTTGGGCCCCGCACCCCATGGGAGACCAGGATAAGTACCTGGCTCCTGCCATCGGATCTGTGTAGTGCACTGGCCACAGCGCACCGGCCCCAGCGGCCATTGGAGGGTGAACCAACAGCAAAAGGAAGACCTTTCTCTCTGTCTCTCTCTCTCTCACTGTCCACTCTGCCTGTCAAAAAATTTTAAAAAAATAAATAAGATAAAATAAAATGTTTCTGCATGGTGTCCTATGGCCCATTAAAATTATATTTTACCGCATCTTTGTAGTGATGGTCTTTAGAAAGAGAGATTACACTATTAGATACCATTGACCAAGGACTTTTGCTGACTGGAATATAGCTGTCATAGAATACTTCTCAAGAAAAGGAAATGTGTTGGAAAATTAACCTTTATGGAAAGTATATTCTTTAACTAACGAGGCATTTACATTTCGGGGAAAGGAAAATTTTGTATTGTCTCAGATCTGTCATGAGGTAAACAAAATCTTTTTGGAGCAAGAACAAAAGACAGATCTGTCAGACTCAAAATGGTTTTTCCCATGTCAAATGAATGATTTTAGTGTATTCTGTTCACAGAATTTATTATGTGTCTGTCACATTCCAAAACTGATACCATCCATAAGAAAGCTTCTCTCCATTTAAACTCCTTTAGTACTTAAACACTTTCTGCAAAATACCTCTGGTGCCTAATCTTTCCAGGTCAGTGATCAGAGTATGAGTTAGCACTTGTTTCTTAAGGGCTGTCCTCCAGGTTCTGCCTGTCCCAAGCACATGTGTCTCCAAATTAATCACCAACTCTGACACAGCAAAAAGCCTGCAGAAGTAACAACTGCCACCTGCTGCACACTACTGATCACTGCCGTTCTCTGCTATATACACTAAAATGTACATGCACTAAAATGACACTACTTACGGTTTAGCAAACATAGATTCTTCTCCTGGCCTTTCCCACCGCCTACTTAAAAATGTCTTTAATTTTCTTTTAAATTACAAACAATATGTTTTCTTGATAAAGAAACTTTATGAAACTGAAGTATGTGCCAAACATGCAGAAGAAGATAGCAGAATGAAGGGCTGTTCACCTGGCTTCATTGGTTTATGCTGTCTCTTATGGGGTGGCACTGGATTCCATGAAAATGTACAAATATTACGTTAATCAAAATTTTACAGGAATTCCAAGATGGCTAAATAAATAAAAAAAAGTGTGGTGATTCTTGCCAAGGGAAGACAGAAGAATAAAGTGGAGAAAGTATATTCCCACAGGAAAGTTGTAGAGAATTTTGCAAGCAATAAGAATATTTACAGAAAAATTCCAGAGCCAAATCATTCCATATCAATAGCAACCATGAAATAACTGGCCTAAGTTCTCCAATTAAAATTCCACAGGAAGAAGAGTAACGCAATGGAGCAGAGTGGAAAGTTCAGACACTCAGCAGTGAACAGGGACACCACCTAGGACCACAGCAGAGGGCTAGAGAAGATGCCAGGTTCTGAGAGCAAGGTAAGGACAGACTGAAGTAGCCCAAGCCAATGATGATATTGCATGAGGGAGGATGGAGAGACATAGTCCACATCTTTAAAGAAAAAAACTGCCAACTTGGAATATTGTATCCTGCAAAGCTTTCATTTATGAGTAGAGGTGAAATGAAACCTTTCATAACAAACAGAAATGGAAAGGATTTGTCACCGCTTGTCAAACCTTACAAATGATGCTTAAGGATATGCTACACACAGAAGTACAGAAAGATATTCATCATTATGAAAGAATGTAGAGGCAGAGAAAGTCAAGTAAAAGTACAAAAGAAATTCAAAGTAAACATTAAGAATATTTACAGAAAAATTGCAGAGTCAAATCATTCCATATCAATAGTAACCATGAAACAACTGGCCTAAGTTCTCCAATTAAAAGATATAGACAGGCCCATCTATTTGTTGCCTACAACAAACACACCTCACCAACAAAGGTACATGCAGACTGAAAGTGAAAGGATGGAAAAAGTTACTCCATGCTGATGGAAAGCAAAAATAAGCAGGTATAGCCATCCTAGTATCAAACAAAATAGGCTTTAACATGAAAACTGTTTAAAGAGACAGAGAAAAGCATTAGGTAATGATGAAGGGATCAATTCTACAGCAAGATGGAGCTACAATAAATAAATAAATATGGACCCAGTGCCAGGGCACCTGGCTAATTAAAACCAATGTGAATGATCCTAAAGGGAGACATAGACTCCAGAACAATGGTAATGGGGGAATTTCATCATTAGACATTTCAGCTAGACAAAAATAAACAAAAAAACAACAGCACTAAACTACACTATTGACCAAATGGACCTAAGTGATAGCTACAGAACATTTCATCACACAGTTGAAGAACACATATTCTTTTCATCAGTGCATGGAACTTTCTCTAGCATACACCATATGCTAGGCCATAGATCAAACCTCAGAAAATTTAAAAAACTTGAAATCATACCATGTATCTTGTCTGACCACACCAGAATGAAGCTATAAATGGGGAAGAAACAGCAGAGGAAACTCTTCCAGAACTAGTGATTCATGGGGGACCTGCGTGGAGGGCGTGGGAACCCACAGCTCGGGACACCAGCCGTGGAATCTACGCAACAACGCTGGAACACAAGGTGAGCCAAACCACAGTAGCCCGAGACACTGACGGGAATGCGGAAGGAGGAGTCTAGAGGGAATGAGGCTTGAAGCCCCATGGGGGAAAGTTCAAGAGGGTAACTAGAGGAAAGAAAAAAAAGACCAGTATGGACACGAGTCTCTCTCTCTCCGTTCACCTCTCAAAGGCAAGCAAGACAAAGAGCAGGTGCCATTTTGGACATATGTAAAAGCTGCATGACCTCAGGGTGGCACCCGCCCTCAGACAAGCAGAAAAACCTGACTGCGGAGGGTGGTGAAATAACAGGAGGTGAGGACCTAGTGAATGTGTGGAGCTAATGAACTGAGACTGTGAAAAAAGAGACAGTGTGTGAGAGAAATCACAGAGTTCATGTGAGTACTCTCCAGAGATGCTACAATTCGGTAACCTTAGCAACCAGGTGGGAGACTGCAGGAGAATTTCAGCCCACATGAGAGCAGAACAGATTCTTTGTGTGGTCCTTGGGAAAGAGCAGGTGAATGTTATACCCACAGGAGCCAGAGATTGGAAGCTGACTACCTTCAATTCTTCTCAGCTGATGGGAATCACTTCCCTTCTGAATCAAAAGAGAGAGAGAGAGATACCATGTCTAACCTGGGTGTGTCACCTTTGACACACTCTTAACCCTGAAGAACCAGAGCTCTCTGGCCACACCCATCTCAAGCCTCTAAGGCTCCATCAAAAGCAGACAGTCCACTTAATACAGTCACAGCGAGGGAAGAAGAATCCAAAGAATATCTCCACAATGCCAAACAACAAATGCACAAACTGAGGAAACAAGAACAAAGAAGAAAATATTAAGTCCCCAAATGAACAAGACACTCCAAGCCAAGATTATGAAGATGATGAGATAGAAATGCAAGATACGGACTTCAAAAAATTTATGATAAGAACATTTAGAAGTTTTCAAAAACAAATTCTTGAACTACAGAAATCCTTACTGGACAGGATAGAAAATCTCATGAAAATGAAATCTTAAGCAGGAATCAAAATGAAACGTAGAAATTTGTAGATCAGGAAAGTGTGATAGTGAAGAAAAATCAAAATGAAATGAGAACTCAATAGATAAAAGGACAAACACATTAAAGAGCCTTAAAAACAGAGTCACTGAAGCAGAAGAGAGAATATCAGACTTAGAAGACAGAGCACAGAATGGCCGGCGCCAGGCTCACTAGGCTAATCCTCCGCCTGCAGCTCCAGCACCCTGGGTTCTAGTCCCGTTCAGGATGCTGGATTCTGTCCCTGTTGCTGCTCTCTTCCAGTCCAGCTTTCTGCTGTGGCCCGGGAGTGCAGTGGAGGATAGCCAAAGTGCTTGGGCTCTGCACCTGCATGGGAGACCAGGAGAAGCATCTGCCTCCTGGCTTCAGATCAGCATGATGTGCCGGCCACAGTGCACCAGCCACAGTGGCCATTGGGAGGTGAACCAATGGAAAAGGAAGACCTTTCTCTCTGTCTCTCTCTCTCACTTTCCACTCTGCCAGTCAAAAAAAAATTTTTTTTTAATAAATAAATAAAAGAAGACAGAGCACAGGAAAGTATACATTCAAACCAAAGAAAAGAAGAGGAAATTAGAAATCTAAAAATATTGTTGGGAATCTAAAGGATACTATTTAAAAAAAAAAAAAAACAACATTTGGGTTCTAGGAGGTCGTGAAGGCATAAAGAGAGAGAAAGGATTAGAAGGCCTTTTTAGTGAGATACTAGCAGAGAACATCCCGGGTTTGGAGAAGGACAGAGACATCCTAGTACAGGAAGCTCATAGAACCCCTAGTAACATGACCAACAGAGATCCTCACCACAACACCTTGTAATTAAACTCACCACAGTGAAACATAAAGAAAAGATCCTAAAATGTACAAGAGAGAAACGTCAGATTACTCTCAGAGGATCTCCAATCAGACTCACAGCAGACTTCTCATCAGAAACCCTACAAGCTAGGAGGGAATGGCGAGACATAGTCCAGGTACTAAGAGATAAAAACTGCCAGCCCAGAATATTATATCCTGTAAAGCTCTAATTTGTGAATGAAAGTGAAAAAGACCTTTCACAGCAAACAGAAATTGAAAGAATTTGTCACCACTCATCCAGCCCTGCAGAAGATGCTTAAAGATGTGTCACACACAGAAACACAGAACACGGTCATCAACATGAAAGAAGGTAAAGGAAGGAAACCTCAAAGCAAAAGATCACAGGAAGTTCAAACATATATTAGAAAATATATTTGGGAAAATGGCAGTGCAAAGTTACTACTTATCAATAGTCACATTGAATGTTAATGGCCTCAACTCTCCACTTAAAAGACAAATGTCTTTAGACATGTCAATAGACACTTTTCAAAAGAGGAAATCCAAATGGCCAACACAAACATGAAAAAATGCTCAAGATCACTAGCAATCAGGGAAATGCAACTCAAACCCACAATGAGGTTTCACCTCACCACAGTTAGAATGGCTCACATACAGAAATCTACCGGAAACAGATACCGGCAAGGATGTGGGGAAAAAGGGACACTAACTCACTGTTGGTGGAAATGCAAACTGGTTAAGCCACTATGGAAGTCAGTCTGGAGATTCCTCAGAAACCTGAATATAACCCTACCATACAACCCAGCCACCCCCCTATTTGGAATGTACTCAAAGGAAATTAAAGAGGCAAATAAAAGAGCTGTCTGCACCTTAATGTTTATTGCAGCTCAATTCACAATAGTTAAGACATGGAATCAACCCAAATGCCCATCAACAGTAGACTGGATCAAGAAATTTTGGGACATGTACTCTATAGAATACTATACAGCAGTAAAAACAATGAAATTGGTCATTTGCAACAAAATGGAGGAATCTGGAAACATCATGCTGAGTGAATTAAGCCAATCCCAAAGGGACAAATATCATATGTTCTCCCTGATCGGTAACAACTAACCAAGCACCAAAAAGCAAACCTGTTGAAGTGAAAGGGACACTATGAGAAACAGTGACTTGATCAGGCCTTGTCCTGACTGTTGATGAACAACTTAACACTTTGTCCCTTTTAGTATTTTTTTTGTTCTACTTAATACTATTGGTTGAACTCTGTAATTAGCACACAATTATTCTCAGGTGTTGAAATTTAACTGAAAAGTGATCCCTGTTAAATATAAGAGTGGGAATAAGAGAGGGAGGAGATGTACAATTTGGGACATGCTCAATGAGACTTGCCCAAAATGGTGGAGTTAGAAATATGCCAGGGGATTCCAATTCAATCCCATCAAGGTGGCATGTGCCAATGCCATCTCAATCGTCCAAGTGATCAATTTCAGTTCACAATTGATCATACTGATAGGTCAAAGAGTCAAAGGGATCACATAAACAAGACTAGTGTCTGCTAATACTGATAGAATAAAAAAGGGAGAGAACGATCCAGCATGGGAAGAGGGATACACAGCAGACTCATAGAATCGCAGATGTCCTAAACATCTGGCCTCAGAATCAGCCCTTAAGGCATTCAAATCTGGCTGAAGAGCACATGGAGTATTTTAGGCATGGAAAGCCAAAAACTCTGGCCAAAAAAAAAAAAAAAAACAGAGTACCTAAGTGAAAGATCTCTGTGAGTGAGATCCTAGTAGAAAGAACAGGGCCATCAAAGAAGTAGGTTCCTTTCTCTGAAGGGAGGTGAGAACTTCCACTTTGACTATGACCTTGTCTAAATAAGATTGAAGTTGGCGAAATTAAAAGGCTTCCAAAGCCTTGGAAACTCATGACTAGAGCCTGGGGAGATTACTGACACCATAAACAAGAGTGTCAATTTGCTAAAGTCAACAACAGGAGTCATTGTGCACTTACTCCTCATGTAGGATCTCTGTCCTTAATGTGTTGTTCAATGTGATTTAATGCTATAACTACTACTCAAATAGTATTTTATGCTTTACGTTCTGTGTGGGTGCAAACTGATGAAATCTTTACTTAATTTATTAAATTTACTAAATTGATTTTCTATATATAAAGATAATTGAAAATGAATCTTGATGTGAATGGAATGGGAGAGGGAGCAGGAGATGGGAGGTGTGCGGGTGGGAGGGAAGTTATTGGGGGGGGAAGCTATTGTAATCCATAAGCTGTACCTTGGAAATTTATATGTACTAAATAAAAGTTTAAAAAAAGAAAAAATAGATCTCCCACATGGGTGGGAAGAACCCAATTATTTGAGCCATCACTCCTTCCTCCTGGGATCTTCATTAGAAGGACACTTGGCCAAGAGGTAGAGCCAGGAATCAACCCATATGCACTAACATGGAAATTGCTAATTGCTCACCCTAGATTCTGATTTTAAATGCAATATTTCAAATGTTTCATAACTGAATGGTATTTATTGGGGTTTGCGGTAAGTTCTATTAGCCAGGTGAAGGATGTTCCATTTTCTCCCTATTTCATTATAGTCTGCATTTATTGACATGATAAGATGCACTTTCTCCTTTTCTCTTGGTATATGTTATAATGTTTTAAGTAGGAAGCATTTAGCCTAGCAGTAATACATCCTTGTCCCACCTCAGATTCCTTGAGTTAGATCTAATGTAGACCCTGGTAGGCAGTGATGTGACTCAAGTAATTGGCATTCTGCCACTCGAATGGGAGACTTGGCTGACATTTATATCTGTGAAGTTGGATTCCTCATTCAAGATATTTGAGGAGGTAGCCAGAGGATGAAATACCACTCTCTCCCTCCCTCTGTCTCTCTCTCTCTCTCTCTCTCTCTCTCTCTCTTTCCCTCCTTTCCTCCCTCTTCCTCTCCCTCTCCCTAATACATAAATAAAATTATCCTTTAAAGTTCTTAATATATATTGATTTCTGCAAAAAATCCCTGTTAATCATGGTATATATTTCCTTACCTTGCTGGAGTTGATTTTTTTTTATATTTGGTTAAGGATTTTTGCTTCTGTGATTGTGAATGTTCTAAAAGAATGTGATGTACCAAAAATCTTGTAAATGTTACTGCCTAAGTGATTTATCTACAAGATAGATTTAATACAATTTATAGTCAATCCCAGAGACAGCAAGGCCACCTTAGGATGGCATAGGCACTGATGTGTGGCTTTCCAAAATCTTGGGCAGGATAAAGAGAACTGGAAGGTCATTTTTTGTTACTGAGATGCTTGACCTTAAACCAAGAAAACTGAAATGCCAGCAATATCTATGGAAGAAAAGGAAGAAACCATTTCAGTTGTTACTGAACCATCCAACGGACAATTTTCACAGGATGGAGGAATCCAGAGGCAAGGCAAATAGTTACTAATTTGGAAAAAGATATTAAAGTCAAGAAACTCAAAGCAGAGTGTGAAAAGGAAGGGCTAGAGCATTTTTGTAAAAATAAGAAGAGGTTATTTTTGTTATTATTAGTCCATTGACTTAGATTCCAGAAAGCCTAAGAAGCTTAAACAACCCTTTACCTCATTGTTTCAATGGCAAAAATAATTCTATGTTCTAAAAAGGACTATTTAAAAATAATATTTTGCAAAACAAAAATTAACATGTACTTATTTTAGCTGAACATGATTTTGTAAAGAAATACAAAGTAATTAGAGTACTGAAAATCATCATAGGAACAAAATCCATCTGGGTTTTTTTAATTTATATTTCCCTCATTTTCTTCCTGATCAAACAAGTCAGCATTTACCAAGTACCTGTTCTTGACTCAATATTTGAGTTCTTCATATTTACTATCAGAAATTACTATGTTTACACTGATAATTTCCTTATACCATAGGGATTTGAGCTTATTTAACTTCTTTTCTGACTAAATTGTAGTGGCTTCTGCTACTGTTGATATCCAGAAAAAGGCTTACTGATACACATTTTTTACCGAACCTAAATGAAAACTGATCCCAGATGGTTTGCTCGTTAAACTTACCAGATTTGGGATATGTGATTACGAAGACATCATCATCTCTGATTTCAAAGTCATCTAACTTTTCCAGTATTTTCATATCAACAAGTGTACGTTCAAAATTATAGCCTTTGAAGTTCAATAAATATTTACGTGAATTGTCCATAACTTTTCACCTACAAGTAAAAACAGATAAATATCTCTTCAATTTCTTCAATTACTGAAACTTAGTGAGTGCTGCAATGTGCCAAGCATCAATTAAATGTCTTATATAAACCAACTCACATAACACAACAAGCATGTTATATATTCATTATTTAAACCACAGTAATCGAATACTGCTGTTGTTATCATTATTTTAAAGAGGAAACTAAGACACTAAGAGGTTAAATTGCTTTTCCTAAAACTTCATGAGGGAACATGATTGTGATTTCAAAGATACAGATGAGGACAGTAAGGCAAAATGAAGTCAATCCTATTAATCAAGTTTGTCCATCTATTACAAGTAGAATGAGAATGATTTGATACCAGAAAATTTGGCCAAATGGCCCATGCTTTTAATACACAATTTCCTGTTATTTTATCTTTTTTCTGATATTTTCATTGAAAAGAATAGGAAATTCTGGGGCCAGCGCTATGGTGCAGCGGGTTAACACCCTGGCCTGAAGCACCAGAATCCCATAGGGGAGCTGGTTCGAGACCTGGCTGCTCTACTTCCTATCCAGCTCTCTGCTATGGCCTGGGAAAGCAATAGAAGGTGGCCCAAGTCCTTGGGCCCTGCACCCATGTGGGAACCCAGAAGAAGCTCCTGGCTCCTGGCTTTGGATCAGCGCAGCTCCAGCCTTTGCAGCCAATTGAGGAGTGAAACTTCGGATAGAAGATCTCTCTCTCTCTCTCTTTCTCTCTCTCTCTGCCTTTCATTTTCTCTCTGTGTAACTCTGTCTTTCATATAAATAAATAAATCTTTATAAAAAAAGAATAGGAATTCTTTGATGAACACATTTTATTGGTTTAACGAATATATTGTATTTCTGGCTTGGTTTTGCTTGTTTGTTTTCCCTAGAGTGTAAATAGCCAGTGACCCTGGAAGAAATTTCTGCCTGTGAAATCTGATACAGTGTTTTAAATGAATCATGGAGAATACTCTGCACAAGTAGAAATCTGGGAAATATGGATTCTCGATAGTTGCAGAATGCTGTGGGGCAATTGTAATTTCCAGCAGAAATAAGAAATCTAGCAAATGTAAATAATAAAATTAAAAATAAACAGTCTAAGAACAAATATTTTTAAACTTTTGGCTATTAGATCTGTTGAGACTGAGAGTTATTTTGACATCGATATCACAATTTCCCAGGACAACTTAGAACTTAGCTTTTAGATTGTGGTGATAAATGTTTTGCATTGTATAACATGAACAAATGGATAAGTCCATAAGTAGAAACTTTAATTGAAGGAAAACACAAAGATGAAGCATGGCTCATTATCACAATCTTCCTCATAGCCCACAATGCCACTCACACACTCTCCAAAACCCCAGCACAGATTCTAGAAACTCTGGATGCTGACAAAAGAGAAAGAAGTGTCAGAATCTCCACATCATTCTGAATGAATCATGCATTGCTGTCATAAATATGGAAGAAATTGATTGTATAAATAGAAACAGCATCTGTGTCTCCCTCTATTCTTACATTGAGGTCCAAAGGAAACCGGAAAAATTAAAAATTTGGGAGAAAAAGGTAAATGCACCTGTTATGCAGAAAAGAGGCAGAGATTTTAAAGAGACCCTCAGTCTCTCCTTTTCCTACTCACTGTTGTAGATCAGCTGAGGAAGCAAAATCACCACTGATAGAATATCAGGGATGAGAGGAACTGAGGTGTTGCTGCGAAATAAATATTCCCTACAGAGTTTGTTTTGGACAATGATTACTGTTCTAGAAAACAAACTGGTAGCTCAGCTTGCATTAGTTGAGTAAGATTTTGTAGACATTAGGGAAAGCATATCAGATTATTCTAGAAACATCAAAGGAGACAACCATTTGGAAATATTAAAGACGACTGCCCTACTAATTTCAATAATTGTGAAACAGTCAATGAGTATTGAAAACTATAGTAATGACATCCGTGGGCATGAGTTACAGGGAGTTGCATCCTTTAGATATATGTAAGGAGCCTGATTTCCATTCTCAGATCTTTGTTGACACCTACCTCTCTTTTGTTTTTCTCTTATTCTCCTCCGGTTTGTTTTTTCTATTGAAAAGCTGGTTATGGTTGTGGAAGTTTCCAGAGATCTTATCAATCCAGTTAGCATATAAATTAATTTTCCAGAATCCAGAATTGTCCTTTTTTAAAAAAAATTTATTTATTTATTTGAGAGACAGTTACAGACACAAAGAGAGAGGTCCTCCATTCACTGGTTCACTCCCCAGATGGCTGCTATCCCAGATTTTGGCCAATCTGAAGCCAGGAGATAGGAGCTTCCTCAGGGCCTTCAACGTTGGTGCTGGGGCCCAAGCACTTGGGCTATTACCGGCGCCGCTAGGCGGAGGATTAGCCTAGTGAGCCGCGGCGCCGGCCATATTATCTTCTGATTTCCCAAGCCATTAGCAGAGAGCTGAATTGGAAGACACAAAGCAGCACCCATATGGGGTGCCAACACCACACTGAGGCTTAGCCTATTATACCATAGCAACAACCCCCAGAATGACCTTTCTAAGTGATGCCCTTTCAGTGTAGTTAGTTTTTAAAGGCAAATATTACAAATGATTTGTCTACCTCTTTGTGTTTTAATACCCGATATTTGCCTCTGTCCTGTCCAAACATCTCTCCCGGGCTATTCACCTATTCGATGGTCTGTTGTTTTCCACATAAACTGATCTTTGATAATAATTCTCAGGTTACCACTAAATATAAAATTTGATCCTAGGGAAGATTTTAATCTTTTCAATAAGGAAGTATTTACTGATATGGGAATAGAATTTAATATAAGGATAATTTATGCTTGTAAATATTGAGCCTGTCTCATTTCTCACAAGGCCTGTAAATTAAGACAATGCTAGTAAAACAATCCACTTTGTGTGGTTGGCACAACTGTGAAGACCAATTGGGGAAGACTACTTGCTAACACAAACAGCTCAGGCACAAAGTTCTGATTTTATAACAAATTGTACGAAATCTTTGAATTGAACTGGATGGTTTAGCACTTTTTGAGGTACTTGGGATCATTTCTCTGCTTTCTTGCTCTTGGTCTCAGCGTCTCTCTCTCTGTCTCTCCCTCTTGCTCTCTCTCACTCGCTCTCTCATTCTCTTGCTATCACTTACACTCTTGCTCTCTCACTTTCTCTTCCTTCCTCCCTCCCTCCCTCTGCTTTCACTGCCCTCCTTTCTCTTTCTGTTGTCATTATCAACTATGAGACTTCTAAAGCAGTCCGTGATAACACTCCCCACCCCTGAGTGATTAAGACAACACCCCAAAGCCATTGTTGTAGATTTCTCCTTTGAATGCTAAACAATGACAGTTGTATTTAACCACTGAGAGGAATCAAGATAAATGGCTGATTGCAGCCATGGCTCAAGAAAAGTACAAGAATGGGAGTAGGCAGAGGCAGGGGAAGCTGCTCAGCATGCTACAGAAACATACAGGACAGGCCCCATCACAAAGAATTATCCAGCCTCAGATGCTCAGTGGTGGCCCTTTTGAGAAGCCCTGCTCCATGGCAGACGGTTATGTAAACATACTCGCATTGGGAGAGAAAGACAGAAAGACATCCTAATCCTTTCATTTAGGCAAAAAATACTAGTTCATAAATGTTTGACCCAATTCCAATCTGAATCTATTTTTTATCTTTAATTATAATATTTCAAATGGATCAAAAACATGCAATTACTAAAAGCAATAAAATACATTTCTCATTATAGATGCCCTGCACCTCCTTTATTTTGCCTGAGCCAAACAAAGCTAGGAGCCTGTAACTAAACTGGGGCCTCAAACATGATCACAGGGACCCATCCCCTGAGATGTCACCTGCCACCACCAGCAGGAAGCTGGAAGCAGAGTGGAGCTGGGACCAGGCACTCCAATATGGAATGTGTCGTTAAGGCTGTCACAGAACTTTAGAAGCAAACTAATTTTGGAAAATCCCCGCTCTCCTGCGTAGGGGATTAAACAGTATCTAAAAGGCCCTTAGCACAGAATTAGGAGGTGACAGATCCAGGGAGGCCAACCAAGGTGGGTGGCACAGACCGTGGCTCCCAGAGGGTCTTATCTCCACACAAATGTCTCCCAGCAGTGGCTGTGCCTGCTTTCTCTAACTGCACACCATCCTGGGCACACTGGCAGGAGCACAAGGCCCTCGGCCAGTCCTGTGGGGACACTTCACATCACGCCCATATGTCAATGGCAGGGAGCCCAGAAGGATGCTGGGGCTCCACGACATTTCCAAAGGAGTTGACATTGGGGCCTAATGTGAATGTACACCAATATTTGTAAAGCCAGGTCCTCAGGACTCTGGGTAAATGCAATCATATTCAGGCCCAAAAGTCTAGTCTCATAGAGTGTGGGAAATCAACGAAGAATTAAGCTGAGAGTTCATAGCTGACCTCAGAGTGTGCCTCCCCAGAGATCAAGAAGGAAATGAAGACACAAAGTACTCCACTGAGTTGGCTGCCACTTTTTTCATAAGGAACATTCAACTTAATGAAAAATAGCCAGGTTACTCACAATAATAGCTACCCTTTATTTCCTTTCTGTGAGCCAAAAAACTGCACACGCTTGTTTCTTGTTATTCCCAGTAACCCTGCAAGGCGGGAGCTATCATTTGCATCTTACAAGTGAGGAGCATGAGGCTCAGGAAGGTCATGTACTTAGCCAAGATCACACAGCTAGTGTTACTCAGGATTCCAACCTGGGTCTGCTTTTTCCACCAAGACATCCTCCTGTCCACACTGCTCTGGGACACTAGGGTGGAAAAAGAAATACATACTTGGTTTTCATGCCCAGTTCCTTGCACAGAGCTCCTGAGATCTTTCTGATTCTCTGGGTGACACGACTGAGAGGAACACTTTTAGGTGTATTTCATCTTAATACCAGTTTCCTGACACAAGAGCTTCTAGGAATCCTGCTTATTCTGTGTGGAGTGTCTTTTTGTATGCTAATGAGATGACTGGTGGTTGAGGACTTTCAGAACAGGCACTGGTTACCAGAAACACCAAGACATGATTAGAGGATGAAACTTTCAGTCCCACCTGATAGGATGTGGAGACTGAGTTAACTGTCAGTGGTTCAATCGATCATGTCTATGTTGACCTCCAACAAGACC